ACAAACAGATAATTATTAGGAAGTCTCAGTTGTCAATTTATCTTTCGGGTTTTTTGGTACATTTTTGTTATATCGATAGTACACTTATAGCACAAGTTAGGCCTCTGTAGCTTTGTTCCTATATTCCAGGTTTAATATTTAGGTCTTGAATCCATTTGGAGTTAATTTATTGCCTCTGATATGAGGTATATGGATCATGCTTTATTTTTCTATAAATGGACTTTCAGTTTCTTCAGTACCATTTTCTGAAGGGACGGCTTCTTCCCCATTGAATGAACATCCTTTGTTGAAGATGAGCATTAACTGTTGTTAGGTGCCACCAAGTGTGCTCTGAGTCACAATACAGCTAACTGGTGCTGCCCCGTCCTGTATCATCCTCACAATCCTTTCCACTGTATTCCAGCTATCTAACTGAACGTCTTATTCTTCTTTGATGACTCTTTACCAACTATGATATCTACCTCCAGGAACTAGTTCATCCTGGTAATGTCCAAAGTACTTGACATGAAACCTGGCACTCTTCTCTTCTAAGAGGCATTCTGTCTGTACTTCCTCCAAGACAGATTTGTTCATTCCTCTCCCATAGTCCATAGTCTATCCCATATTCTTCACCAACATCATAATTCAAATGCATCAATTCTACTTCAGCCGTCCATATTTGTTATCCACTGTTCACATGCAAACAAGATAACTGAAAATACTTTGCCTTGGGGCAGTTGCACCTTAGTCTTCCTAATGGTGTCCTTGCTTTTTTATGTAAACTTTGAGTTGTGCTTTTGCAGCAAATTTGCTCAATGCAGTTAAATACTTTTATTTCTTGACTATTTGTTCCATGTGCATTGATTGTGGCTCCAAGTAAAATAAAATTGTTCACCACCTCAGGTCTATCTCAATTTGTCCTGATATTACTTTTTAGTCAAGTTCTGAAGATTTTTGCTTTCTTTATATTGAGATGTGATCTATACTATCTTTGTTATTCATCAGTAAGTACTGTACTTCAAGTCATCTTTGCGTACAGCAAGCAAATCTTTGTCAGTAGCATATTGAAGATGGTTAATGAATCTTCCTCCAATTTAATGCCACATTATTTCTTCCTGTAGTCCAGCTCCTGAGATTTATCTACTCAGTGTGATGATTACGGTTGTGTATTGATTTAGCTGCTTGTAATTCTCCAGTTTGAAAATTATGATGTAAATTTTTCAGTGTCAGTCAATTCTTTTTGGTACAGTGACTCTGTGTATTCCCTTAATCTTCTTTTGATGCTTCCTGGATCATACAAGATATTTCCCATAGCATCTTTCATTATTGCAACACAATGCTTAAAATTTGTTTTTCAGTTCTCTCAGCTTGAGAGATGCAGAGAGAGCTCTTCTCTTTTTATTGTCCAATTCCAACACTCTGCACATTCCAATGTAATATTTTGCTTTGTCTTCTTGGGCTGCCCTTTGAGATCTTCTGTTCAGCTCTTTTACTTCAGGATGTTTCCCTCTTGTTTTGGCTTCTTAACACTCTAATGCAATCTTAAGGGTTTCTTCTAACATCCATTTTGGTCTTTTTCTTTCTCCTCAGTCTTTGCAATGACCTTTTGCTCTTGTTATGGGTAATATCCTCTATGTCCTCACTCATCCCACAACTTATCATGTCCTTGATATTTGGTGTTCAATGGTGTTCAATGATTCAAACCTATTCTTACGATGATTTTGAAATTCAAGTGAAATAGACTCAAGCTCATAGTTTGGTTGCCATGGACTTATTTTAATATTTTTCTGTCTCAATTTGAACTTGCATATAAGCATTTGGTGGTCTGTTCCACAAACTGCCCCTGATCTTCTTTTGATTGTTGATATTGAGCTTCTCCATTGATTTCTTCCACAGATGTATTCATACCTATTCCTATGCAGTCTATTAGATGTCTATGTGTAAAGTTATAGTTTGTTATTTTTTAAAAAGGTATTTGCAGTGAACAAATTATTGAACATACAAAATTCTGTCATTTTATTTCCATCCTTATTTCTGTCATCAAGTCCATACTTTCTGACTACCATTCTTTCTTCATTGTTTCCAACTTTTGCATTCCAGTCACCAATTGTCATCAAACACATCTTGATTTCATGTTTGGTCAATTTCAGACTGCAAGATTTGGTAAACATTTCTATTTCCTTATTTTTGGCTTCAATTGTAGCAGCATATATTTGAATAATCATCATAGAAACAGATCATTCTTCTATGCATGTGAAATGTGAATAATATCCTATCACTCACAACATTGCACTTTAGGATAATAACTTGAAATTGACTTTTTTCTCTCTCTACGAATGCAACATCATTCTTCTGTTTTTCATTCTCAACCTAGTATATACCATGTGATTATCTGATTCAGAACGGCCAAAGCTAGTCCATCTCATCTCACTAATGCCTAGAATGTTGATGTTCTTGCATTCCATTTCATTTTTCACAACTTTGTTTTCCCAACATTTATGTTTTGTACATTCCATGTTCTAATTATTAAAGGGTATTTGCCATTGTTTTTCCTCATTGTGATTAACTTACTATCTGAGCTCTTCCTC